TCGCAGAAGCGGATTATGGGGTGCATGTGCATGTTTGGACCGCATGTGCAATAGGATTCCGCACCTGCAATGACCGCAGATGCGGTGAACTGATCGCCGAAGCGAAGGCTGGATTTTAAGTGATTTTCCGCAGAAGCGGAGCTTGGTCTGCAGATACGGACCCGCAAATGCGCAATTTGTACTGTAGGTGCGGTTTTGCTGGGCAGAAAGTATAAATAGAGGACTTTCGGAATTCTTCTCATTTTCACGTTTTTGAACACGGGTTTTGGAGATTTTGAAGTCATATTTTGAGGAGAATTCGAGGTTTATCACTGAGGTAGGTTTCTTGACCCTAACTATCCTTAGCAATGGTGTTTTCCCGTTGATTTTCCACTTAATTAGTGAGGTTTTGAAGTGAAAATTTGGGGTTAGGGCTTGGGAATTTGGAGAGTGAATTGTGGGGTTTTGGAAGGGCAAATGATGTCGGATTTTGATAAATTTAGTATGGCTAGACTCGTGAGTTAATGGACTTTTGGATTTTGTGAGTTTTGTCGGATTTCGAGAGTGGGCCCGGGGGCCAAGTTTGAGCCGATTTCGGATTTTGGCTATGATTGGTGTTTTTCTTGTGGAATTGATTCGTTTAGCCTATATTGATCGTAATTTATTGCTTGTGGCTAGATTCGGGATGTTCGGAGGCCGAGTTGAGAGGCAAGGGCATTGAGGAGTAGGATTTTTGCTCGGTTTGAGGTAAGTAACTCTTTCAAACTTGGTTCTCGGGGTTCGAAACCTTGAACTACGTATTTTGTAGTTAGTATTGAGGTGACGCACATGCCAAGTGACGGGCGTGCGGGCGTGCACTGTGAGAATTGGGACCTGGTTCATTCCATGACACCGTTTAGTGACTCTTTCTTGTTGATATCCGTGTTTCCATTATGTGATAAAGTAAATGAGCTGTAAAACATACTAGATATCATGTTAGGGCTTTACGCCGATACTTTTGGGACCCCTAGTGGTCGTTTCTTGCTGTCATCTCACTGATTCATTGATATTCTGTGCTCAGTCATATTCATGCATTTCATATCATATCTCAGTCTCAGTTGTTATTTATTGGCACATCATATCATTGTTTCGGGCTAGTTTTCATGGCATTGTGAGCCCGTGGGTGAGACTGGAGAGTGATGACTGAGTGAGGCTGAGAGCCTAATTATGAGTGACAGTTATGGGATCAGAATGCACACCGCAGCGGTTATATTGATTTGTGATAGCGTTTGGGCTGAAGGAGCCCCTCCGGAGTCTGTACACACCCCAGATAGTGCAGTTGATATTATTATTTGGAGATGGATCTTTTCCATGAGGCTGGATTGGCCTATGTCCTCTGTACTGGAGACTGATGGTCAGTGATGTATATATTCCGGGATGGATATTCCCTGGGCCGTGTGAGCCATATATAGTAGCGAGGTTGTGAGGTTATTATTATTACTTGGAGATGGATCTTCTCCATAGGGCTGGATTGGCCTTCCTCTGTACTGCGTGATTGCTGTCAGAGATGTATATAATCCGGGATGGATCTTTCCTGGGCCGTATGGGCCATATACAGTACTAAGTGGACGAGCATTTGAGAGTGTGAGTACATGAGATATTCAGAATGGTGCATCACATACAGCATGTGCATTGGCATGTAGATGTAGTAGAGCTCTATTCTTTACCTTGTTCGTATCTGCTCTATCTTACTGTTTCAGCTGTCTATTAAATTGAAAGCATGCCTACGTTTCTGCACATATATTTCTATTATTTCTGTTGCGGTTGAGTTCGTACTACCTTTCAGTCCATAGTTTGGACTCGTTACTTACTGAGTTGGTGTACTCACGTTACCCCTGCACCTTGTATGCAGATTCAGGCACTTTTGGTCCCAGTGGCAGTTGCTGATCGAGGCTTCAGGCTTTGGGAGACTATCGAGGTATCTGCACGGCGTTCGCAGGCCTTGACTCTCCATCTTTATCTCCAGATGTATTTCAGTTTGTTTCTTTAAACATTGTAATAGACTATGTTCTCCTCTAGACGCTCATGCACTCAGTGACACCCCGATTTTTGGGCAGTTGTATCGAAATTTGGATTTTATTATGTTTTCAAAAATGTTCCTTAATGAATTGTCGCTTCCTTGTTGATTGTTTAAAAATACTTTTGCGGGTGTTGGATTATTGAGTTGAGGCTGACCTAGTTCCACGATAGGCGCCATCAAGACGGATCGAGTTTTGGGTCGTGACATTTTATCTATAATATTAGTTACTCTTCATATCAAATATGATATATTAATTATTTTTAAATATCAGTGTATATAAAATCCTGCTACGATATGCCAAGAAAGCTCCTATATGAATGTCAACACATACACTACAGTCAGCGGCGGAGCCACCTTCGCCATCGGAAAATTACACTGTCGTAGTAAGGTAATATTTTTTAATGTATATATACTATAAGTTGAATACTCTTGACTTCGATCTTCGAGCGTTTGTACTTTTTTGTATTTTAGCAATCGTTAACGAAAACTCTACCTCAGCTACTAATTAACTACACTGCAGTATGTAGGATCTCCGGAGCTGTTCGCCAAACTAATTTTGTCTTGTTACATAGTTTGGTTTCTCACACTGTTATTTAATTAAATCCAATTATATGTAACAACCTAATGTCAGGTATCATGCATCCTCCTTATAGCAAAGCAAAGCAAAATTTAAATCACATACTAACTCATATATTGCAGAGAACGTAACCTTTCTTCTCTATGATGAAGGCCCACTTTTGTCTGCATGGAGATGATATGGAAACTGTATCTGTGGGTGAACACGAAAACCTAATACACCTGGTTCAGAAATTAGACTAGGATCTTTTGTCCTAAACGAAGTCTTTAATTTAGAACCAGCTCATTATAACATTATTGACGTCAATAATCTCCTGTCTTTTACCTCTAGGTGAAAATTAAGTAGCTTAATAATGTTTGAATATCATTGCCTGCAGTTTTTAAGGTAAACTAGTAAGCTTGGTAACCTTGAAAAAGGTATAGTAATATAGTCAAAGCAGTTCTATTTTGATATATATATATATATATATATATAAAATACTAGCTTTATTTAGGTGTAAGCACTTCTTCGACGACGTTCTAATAATCTAATTAAGTTACTTTTGATGGTCAGTTTTACCATCTCCTCTCGCAACATATGTGACCTTAATTATATTCTTCAAAAAAAATAAAATGAAAAGTTAACTTAGTAAAGTAGGTTAAAAATTACTAGTATTAATGATGGTTGAGTTTTGTCCAAATAGATATAGTACAGGGAGAGTATCATATTAAAAGATATAAAATGAAAGTAATGATATTAATAAAATGAAGGGGAGCCAGATCCTTGCTGTTTTAGGTCTTAACTATTTTAAAATATACTCTAGTACTTGTTACTTCCCAAATGAGCCTGCATCATACTTTGATATAAAAGAACTATAATTAGTAACATCTAACACATGACTCTCACCGTTTTTGGGATCCTAAAATAAGTATTTGATACGTCTGAAGTGTTCACATTCGCAAATAATGGCACCTATCATATAGCATCCAAAATAGTAGTAAGTGTAAACTAACATATGATCAAACTTTTCCAAATTAAACAACATTATTATTAACATACCAACAAAATGATCAAGTTATTTATCCTTTACGATCATCTGTCATTATTGTCTCCCATTTTGGCTCAAAAGTTTACATTTACTCGTGTACCATAGTTGAAATATTTAATCTAAAATATCACTAATGTCTGACATAAGATATAAAATCTTGCGAATTTGATCAAAAGAAGATAGCTTAAAATCATATTAAGAATGTCTCTTGAAAATTAAGAATCACAATTGGTTATTGATATACTGCGGAACTACAAGCAGTTTGATGAATAAGTTGTGCTTCTGTCGATCATTTTTGGTCGTTAAAACGGACAAAATAAAGTTCAAAACACAATTAAGTCTGAAATTCGCTTTGTGATGATTAGAAGCAAAGTTTGTACAGAATTGTTTACAGAATCGGAATTAATGGCAGTTGATTCCACAAATAAGCTAAGCACGTCATCTTTTTGAGTTTGAATTATTGAGTCAAAATTGACTAAAGTCCAAGGCTGCCTACTTTTTGACGAAATATCAGACCCCATCTGCTAGGCACTATCTGGTCTCATTACTTACAGTGATTAATTTTCATAACTTCTAGAGATATACATATTTTAATAAATTATATCACCAACTGAGTGATAATACTACTAGAATATCATACCAAACTGCGTAAACACGTAAGCATGCATTGATCATATTAATCTTTTAAAAAAAGAATACAGCCCCCACTCCAATAATAGTAACCAAGTGTCAAGCTGTGAGTGATTGAAATTATATTAGCCAGTTGCCAAGGTGCACCACTATGAGAAAATATTGTGAAGTATACCCCCACTGATTTAGGCGCTTGTAATATTTACATAACCAAAGTATTATAACAAATTAAAGTAATGCCATGTATATGTCTAGGCTAATTACTTTGTGGAAAAAATGGATAATGTGCTCAATGTGATTAACATTGAGCCATGTTGCTTTGATTTTCTAAAAATATTGCCGCACTCGTGTTGGATATTGCAAAAATGCACTAATTTTGAAGGATTCAACACGCACCCGGTAAAATTTTTGAAGAATTCGAGCAACGTAGACATAAAGTGTGTCAATGTTTTTTTTTTTTTTTTTTTTTTTTTTTTTGCATAGAACTTAATTTACTTCAAGTAGAATCGTAATTACTTCAAGTAGCTAGAATCGTGAGCTACCAGCACTTTTGCTTCCTGGTACAGAAAAAAGGCAGCAGTTAAAATTGAATTCTGGCTTTGTGGCAGTAAATGCTAAAATGGAATTATCAAAATCAATCAAGAATTAGACAATTGGTCCCCGTTACATTGCCCCTTGACGTACTTCAAAAATTGTCGACAGTTCCTTGTTCATTTTCTCTATATAATGCTCTCTCCCTTTCGTATCCAGCAAATAATCCATTCATTATTTCAGTACTGCTTACAAATAAATTTAGTGTGTGGGAATGGGTAACAAGGACTATGAGTACCCAGCATCAATGAATGTGGAGAGCAGAAAAACACACCCAGTGGAAATCCCACCACCACAACCTTTTTTCAAGTCTTTAAAAAATACAGTTAAAGAAACTTTGTTTCCTGATGATCCACTTGGACAATTCAAGAATCAGCCACCTTGCAAGAAATTCATACTTGGACTTCAGTATTTGTTTCCAATCTTTGAATGGGGTCCTCGTTACACCTTGGATTTCTTCAAATCGGACCTTATTGCTGGGATCACTATAGCCAGTCTCGCCATTCCTCAGGGAATTAGCTATGCAAAACTTGCCAATTTGCCACCTATACTTGGCCTCTGTAGGTCACAACGTTACTCTATGTTTTATTATAATGGTGGTGTACGTGAGTGCACCTCAATTAGTTCGTTGGCTACCTGTTACTTTCCATAATCACTACTTGAAAATGGCTCTTCTGCTCCGAAACGGACTGTTCCAAATGTTCCTGGAAATGAATTTAAACTTTAAATTTCATGGGTTTAACCTTTACGTGCTCAATGCTGAACCTGGTGTGCTCTTGCAATTATGGATTCAGATTTTATAAACTTTAGTAATTTTTTTTTTTAATTTATATATCTTTGCTTCATGAAAAAAGTATGAGGTTGATAAGTTGAACCCAGTGACTATACATTACAATTTACACGTGCTTCCGCTTACCAGCACAAGTACAGGATAACTATGTCAAGAATTTCCTTAATGTTTGTATCTTAATCTCCCAAAATCCTAAAAAGCTTTCTAGTAGTGATTGAGCAGTGTGAGGTGTGGTTAATTAGTTACGTGATAACTAATTATGGGTTTGTTGGTTATTTCTGATGACAGATTCCAGCTTTGTTCCGCCATTAGTCTACGCAGTAATGGGCAGTTCAAGAGATTTAGCAGTTGGGACAGTTGCTGTAGCATCACTTCTCATTAGTTCAATGTTAGGGGACGAAGTTAATCCAACTGAGAATCCAACACTTTATCTTCATCTTGCGTTCACGGCCACATTCTTTACCGGAATATTTGAAGCAGCTCTTGGAATTTTCAGGTTAGTATGTACAGTAGAATATACTACTCTCGGTTCCAATTTATGTGAACCTATTTCCTTTTTGGTCCGTTCCAAAAAGAATAAAACCTTTCTAAATTTGGTAACAATTTAGCTTAAACTTACAATTCTATCATTAATGAGAAGTTTTTATAATCACAAGAATCGGGGGCGGATTTAGGGCCGAAAAATTACACTGTATATATAAGGCAAAATCTGTTTTTTTACGTCTATATATTAAGTTTTGAACCCCCTTAACACAACCCAACGTGTAGCTTGGTGGTCAAGGGGGTTCAAAATCTTCCTAAGGTTTGAGGTTCAAATCCCACTAGCTATAGTTTTTTTTCTGAACTCCCTTCGTGGCCACTGACAAAAATACTGTGGGCCCCTTTTTGACTTGTTTAGGACCACAAATTTTAAAAGTTTTCATTTTTTCTTAAAATCCGTGCCCAATCAAACAAGTTCATATAAATTGGAGCGGAGGGAGTATAAATGAAAGTGTGTTACATAAATTGGGATCAGATGAACTTTGTTTTAATCCTTTGGTGATCATGACTATGTCTTTTTGTTAGAATAAGCAATGATTAAGGTAAGTTGATGGTAACGTTAGTTCGGTAAATAATATTTGCATGCAGACTGGGATTTGTAGTGGATTTTCTATCTCATGCAACAATAGTTGGGTTCATGGGTGGAGCAGCCACAGTTGTGATACTTCAGCAGCTAAAAGGGCTACTTGGCCTTGACCATTTTACTCAGTCCACTGATGTCATTTCCGTCTTGCGTTCTGTTTTTACCCAAACGCATGAGGTATAAATTTTAATATGATGTGATGTTATGTGATTTGCATTAAGTCCGCATTTTTTCCACAAAAGGAAATCTAACTCATTATAAGTAGTTTTTTTTTTCTACATTTTATGTTGGACTTTGTTCACATATACACCCAACAACTCGGCTCGTATACGGGCTAAGACAATAAGCCGGGTCCCCACGTCATACTCGTTATCTTCACATAGTATGATATTGTCGCTTTAGGTTAAGCCTGCACATTTTTCACACTATTAAGAGTATTCAATTCGTTACAAATAAATTTTTTTCCTACTTTTCATGTGAGACCTTATTTACACACTAACAATAGCTTATTATCGATGTATTTTAATTTGTTGTAACATATAACTTATCTGTATTTTTCACGTGTGCTCTCCCCGCCCCCAACCCCCTACAAAATCTGCGACTCTTTCTATACATCGATATGTCGTGCAAGGCTATAGCCTTGTTTTCTTGAATATATTAATTTTGAAAAATTATTGTTCGATTCTCATTAGTTTTATTTAATTTTAATTAATTAATGTGGTTTATGACTTTGCTTATGGTTAATGACAAAAATAATTGCAGTGGCGATGGGAAAGTGCGGTGCTGGGTTTCTGTTTCCTTTTCTACCTGCTGGGTTCTAGATTCCTTGTAAGTTACAACCAACTTTGACCGATTCAAACTTGAATAGTACCATAAAATCAATTTATTAAAGAGTATAAATTTTATGCATGTAATATAAGAAATATTTATACAATTGAGTTATTTATAATTAAAATACGGACTTGAGTCATATATACAATAAATTTCTGCACTATAAGTCATATATACAATAAATTTTTCTCGGTGTTATCTTGTCTTGTTTTCTTGTTATTATTGTGGTACCAATACTTTCTTGAATCGATGGTCTATTAGAAACAACCTCTCTACCTCCACAAGGTAGGGGTAAGGTCTGCATACACCCAACATACTGACCACTGAGTATGTTGTTGTTGTTGTAAATCCATACTGCTGCTTAATTTTAGCTATAATGAAATGCATGCATGCAGAGCCAAAAGAGAGCGAAGTTGTTCTGGATATCAGCAATGGCTCCATTGATGTCCGTCATACTAGGAACCATTTTTGTTTATTTCACGCACGCTGAAAAACACGGCGTTCAAGTGGTAAGACGTCCTTCGTTTTTCTTAATTTCTAGAAGGTGTATATAGTCCGTTTGGCCCGGCTTCTTCAAGGCCAACAACACTATTTTTCAAAAAAAAAAAAAATAGTACTAATTTTTTTCCTTAAAGTTGAGGCGTTTGGTCAAACTTTTAGAAGAAAAAAATGCCTTTGAGCTGAAGTAGAAACACTTTTTAAGAAATAAGTTAATTAACCAAATACAAACTGCTTCTTACTAAAAGTTATTATACTTTTTAAAAGATACTTCTTAAGAAAACGTGATTTTAGAAGCTTGGCCAAATAGGCTATAAGTAATAATCTTATTCTGCTTCTACTGTTTACAACATAAACACTATGGTGGGGTGATGTGATATTTCTGCTATTTGGATTACTGCAGTTGTGAGTGTTTAATTTGCGTTGTGATTCTTGTGTTTGAGTATCGCACACGTTCGTTTGATATAGACGACCTACCAATGCCATGATTGACTGATAATTAAATGTTTCAAGGACAGTACTGGCCCAGCAAATTTGCTGTTGGCATTATCGTTGCCCATTTAAATAGACATTTGCTGATGGTTTTCTTCGTCCTAGAAGTTACTCGATTTAATATTAAACAAATATGACAATGAAATTGAGATGAAACAAAATTTGAATTATTGTAGTCGATGATTCATTAATTAGGAGAGATTTGTTATGGTAATTTTAGACTGGGTTAGGTTGAGGAAATTTATCATTACTGAATAGTGAATACCATCTGGCTTATATGTTAGTTCAAGTCAAAAAAAGAACGAAGTTGTGTGCATTCCTGACTACATAGACAAGACACCAGGAGTGAAAAGAAGAAAAAAAAACATGTCAGAATTAAAGTTCCAATCTATTAATGGTTACATATAACTTTATTCACGTAGCTTAATTTGGTGTAGTTTTGAACCAGTTAATTGTTTGAAACAAAAACTCCTCTTCTTTATGTACTTTTTTTTATTTCTTCTACTATTATGAGCCACCCCCAGTACCAAAAATAGGCATGTGATAATTTATTTGCAACTGCATTAGACATCATGTGAGAAACATGAGTAATATAATTGGATGGTTAATTATGAAAATATTATGAACAGATTGGAGAGCTGAAGAAAGGGTTAAATCCAGTGTCAATAATGGATTTGTCATTTGGAGCACCTTATCTTTCAACAGCTATCAAAACTGGCATAATCACGGGTGTCGTATCTCTTGCTGTAAGCTTTAACTTTTCCCATACTCGACCCTTTGTCATGAAGATATCTCATATGTCGAGAGACAATGTAATTAAATGTATAAGTACACAATTAATTAGTGCAAGTTAACCTACTGTAAGTTTAACTCATTCATAAAACTTTGATTGGGGACATGATAGGAAGGAATAGCAGTGGGGAGAAGCTTTGCAATGTTCAAGAATTACCATATAGATGGCAACAAAGAGATGATCGCTTTTGGAATGATGAACATCGTTGGCTCTTGCACTTCCTGCTACCTCACTACTGGTATTTAATTTCCTCAAATAATTCTCTTTCTCTTTCGTTCCCCTAAATTTGTTTTTGAATTACCTGAAACACCAGAAAAAACAATGGCCCATTAATTTAATTGGATTAATCAACATCTCATTCTATGGACCATCATGTCGGGAACACCCAGCAGACACACATAAAGGTCGCAAATAAATGCAGAAAGAGACAAGAAAATATCTACATAACAAAGTAGTGGTTAATAGTGAAAGTACAAGAGGGGGTGAATTGTTAATTTTTATATTTTAATTACTATAAGTTGACTAGTTTTCTAATTAGTCGACTAGATGTAAGAGCAGAATTTAAGATGCAAAAATAAAGTGCAGGAATTAAAGACACCGTAATTTTTATACTGGTTCGGATTCAATGTGAATCCTAGTCCAGTCCCATTGGGTTGCAAGGGAGTTCTCTTTCAGTGAATGAGTTTCTCGAGTACAAAGTGAATGGTGTGGTTTACACCAATGGCTCAGTTCCTATATCAGTCGTTTCTTTTTGATACAATGCCTCACCAGTATTTTTCTCCCTTTCTTCTCTAACTTGTTACACAACAGATCTAGTAGAGCTACAATGTTTGTTTGCAGTAGAACAAAGAGAGTGTATTTGGTTCGATCAAAGTATATTTGTCTAAGGCTTAATGATGTATATAAATACTTTGTAGGAGGCCGTTTGCTGAAGAGATTTGACAACCCAAGAGATTTGAGCTTTCCTTCTACAGATCTTGATGACGCGGGTTTACTCCTTAATTGTTGGTCCTTCCGAAAATAGCAGCTTGTCGTTGCTCTTCCTTGATGAGAGGGCAATGATAGCTTTCCTTCTACAGATTTGATAACGCGGGTTTACTCCTTGGTTGTTGCTCCTTCCAAAAATAGCAGCTTGGTAGATCATCCTGCAAGATCTTCGATGCTTCTTTTCCGCTTCAATCAATCTCTAATTAATTCCCTTTCCGAATCTCTAGTTGGTTGATTGATTCCTTCCTTTTGATTTCTTCAATCTTGGATGCTTTACTTGAGTTCCTATACCAAAAGCAGTTATATTATTTTTCATCATTAAAATTAAAACCTAACAATCTCCCCCTTTTTGGTGATGACAAAATAATATATGTAAACATGTAAACATCAGTTGACTTCCCTGTATTTTACTCCCCCTCAATGAGTACAGTTGGCTCCCCCTTACTAGGTGCTTCCTTTAGTCGACTACTTCTGCAAGATCTTTGACTCCCCCTCAAGAGGTGCCGTTGGGACTTCTTTTAGTTAGCTTCTCCTATAGTATCTATAGTCGACTTCCCCTGCAATGTATGTATCTGCACGAATCTGCACGAATATAGATATCCTTTCTCCCCCTTTTTGGCATCAGCAAAGAGGGGATAAGATAGCAACACACTATATACTAAACCACGACATACTATAAACATGATACGCTAGCAGAGTTATGGGAAAACAGAACATATTGTCTAAACAGCATAAAGAAAAGCAAAAATCATCCAATCGACTGGTTATCCAGTCCAAAACAGCACAACAAAAATACTGTCTTAGAGTTCTACATTAACAACACAAGAAATAGGTAAGAGTTTTGCATATCACCTCCTTTACTTGATCAAAGCTGGCATTTGCTGAGATAGTCACTCCATCAAGCCTGTCGTGTACCTCCTTGAATGCCTTGACTGCGTTTTCCCTAACTCTGAGAACTGCAACTCTTATCTTTGGAACATCAGATCCTGTCTCTTTTGAGATAGTATGAATATCTCCAACAGTGTGCTGGGTAGCAGTAAGGAGATCTTTGATGGCGAACAACTGATTGTCAATGGCAACTAGTTTCTCAGTAAGGTCAGGGACACTGGGACTATGATGGGAAACAAAGGGTTTGGGTTTTGGATCAAGTTGAGCATGATTGACTTCACCTTCTTGTTTCTTTACCCATGAAACTTTCACACACATATACCCATACTTGCAAACGCTCTGGAATTGTAAGATTTTGAAATAGAGATGAAGGGATATTCAGAGATGGAGATATTATGTGCCTCCAGAATGTGAGTGATGGCCATGCCATGGGGTAGACTGGTGGGATCATCAGCACTCTCAATCATAAAATTGATGACCCAGGAGGACATTTTGATCTTGAGTTTTGTCACAAGGCAATAGACAAGAAAGGTATCTCTTTGAGAGAAGGTGGAGAAAGAGCCAATACGAGGAAGTAGAGTAGTTGCAACAATGTGGGCTAGAACACGAGTTTCAAAGCTAACATCACTAGGACCTAACTTGTTTGGAAGAGAATCAGATGGATACTCAGAAATACACTGTTTTGCTTGATCAAGAGTGATTTCAAAGTCATCAGGCCAAGAATTTTTGAAAAGCATGGGAAAATAAGAACCCTTACACTGGAAAATTGAATCAAACATGGCACAATCAAGAACTATGCGCTTCCCTAACACTAAGGATTCCAACTTATCAGACTTACTGGAACGAAGATTTGCATAAAACATTTTCACTAGGAGGGGGAACATAAAAGAATTTAGACCAGCCCTGATGAACAAACAGATCTTTTACCTTACAACTTAGGGCTTCCATGTCATCAAGGTCGACTACCCTCCCATGAGCAATTGGCTTGTCTTTTAAAGCGATGAAAATATCCCTATTTGGAGAGTCCCAGAAATTAGGTCAGACTCTAAAGAACTAGAAAGATCTATTTTTGGCTTCTTTGGAGTAAAGGATTCAGGGGGTTCTTCCATAGCCCTTTTTCCCAGGGCTTTTTCTCCTAAAGTATGAGACTGATCTGAGAGGTTCGCCTGAGAGGAGGCAAAACCTTCAGAATGGTCGGACCCAAGGTCTACTTGTTCTGGAGGTTGAGATGGGGGTTTTGTTCCGGAGCGAGTACTCTTCCTGGTAGAAGCAGAAGGATTTTTTGAGTGTTTGGCCATGGAAGAGCTTTTGGTGAGAGAAAGTTTTGGAGAGGGTTTCTAGGCGATGGGGACGATGGAGACTGAGAAGGGTTTTCAAGTATTAAAAGAAGGGTTTCTGATGGATGAGTATAGAAAAGGAAGGCGTGTCAGTTGAACAGACGTGATGATTGGGTTTCCTTCTTTGAACTCTATAACTGATGTGAAAAGAGAGGAAAAGAGAGGGAATTCGGAGGCGCAATTAATGATCAGAAAACAACAAAGTTTGAACATTAAGCATAAAAAAAATAACCGTAACACATAGGTCCTAATATTAATGATTAATGCAAACAATACCAAGTAATTCTCTTAAAAAGCAAAATATGTCGTCTAGTAATTGATCAGTAGTTCCAATAAAAGATAGTTCTATATTTCCCTTAAGAACATGATCTTTAATAAAACGATGCTTGATATCTATATGCTTAGCCCTAGAATGATGCGCAGGATTTTTAGATAGACATATAGCACTAGAGTTATCATAGAAAATTGGAATACGTTTAAAAAATAATTCATAGTCACCCAATTGATGAGACATCCAGAGTAATTGTGCACAATATTTTCCAATGATATACTCAGCCTCAGTCGTGGATAATGCGACTAATCCTTGCTTTTTACTGTTCCAAGATATTAGCGCCTATCCAAGTAATTAACATGTTCCACTTATGCTTTTTTTGTCTTCCTTATCACCTGCAAGATCAGCATCTGAAAAACCTTCTAATTTTAAATTGTTAGATTGTGGATACCATAATCCGTGAGAGACAGTTCCAATGAGATATCGAATAATTCTTTTTACTGCAGTCAGATATGATTCCTAAGGAGCTGACTGAAACCTGGCACATTTATAGACGCTAAACATAATATCCGGTCGACTAGTAGTTAGATAAAGAAGTGAGCCAATCATTCCAAGATACTTAGTTTTATCAACAGGAATTCCCTATTCATCTTTGTCGAGACTTGTTGAAGGACTCATTGGTGTGCCAATAGCTTTAGCATTGGTCATACGAATTTTTGAATCAACTCCTTTGTATATTTTGGTCTGACATATGAACGTTCCTTCTTCAGATTGTTGAATTTGAAGTCCAAGAAAGAACGTTAGTTCTCCCATCATACTCATTTCGAACTCACTTTGCATAAGATTTGAAAATTCCTTGCACAGAAGAGGATTAACACTACCAAAGATAATATCATCAATGTAAATTTAAATAATGAGATTACCTTCTGATGATCGTTTAATAAACAGGGTAGTGTCTACTTTACCTCTTGTAAATCAGTGATCAATAAGAAATGAGCTTAGTCTTTCGTACCATGCTCGTGGAGCTTGTTTCAGTCAGCGCTTTGGTAAGTTTATACACATGGTAGGGAATCTTTGAATCTACAAACCCAGGAGGTTGCTTCACGTATACTTCCTCTTCAATGAAACCATTCAAAAAGGCACTTTTAACATCCATCTAGAATAGCCCGAATCTCTTGAAGGATGCATATGCAAGAAGAATTCGTATAGATTCCAGTCGAGCTACTGGGCAAAGGTTTCATCATAGTCGAGTCCTTCTTGTTGTGAGTATCCTTGAGAAACTAATCTGGCTTTGTTTCTCACAACTTTTCCATCCTCATTCAGCTTATTTCTGAAGACCCATTTTGTTCCAATTACAGGAGCATTTTCAGGTTTGGGCATCAGTTTCCATATTTGATTTTTGTCGAATTGGTCTAGCTCTTCCTGCATTGCTTGCAACAATCTTGAGTCTTTCAGAGCTTCCTCTATTTTCTTTGGCTCAATTTGAGAAATCATTGCTATGTTTGCTTTCTTCTTGAGAGCGCCCCTGGTTTTCTTTCCTTCGCTTGGATCTCCTATGATGAATTTTTTAGGATATTCGGGTTCACTTCTCCATTCATCTGGACGAACTATATGAGTAGTTGACTCCTTCAGAGATTCTGGTTGACTGTTGCTGGTCTCATTAGTTGACTCTATCACACCATCAGATTTTATTAGTCGACTCTTGAGATTTGCTTGTCTCCTGAATTTCTTGAGCTTGATCTTCATCACCTGCAATAATTCCTTTGTCGGCCGAAGTGTTATTCTCATCAAATATAACATGTACTGATTCTTCCACAGACAGTGTGCGTTTATTATAGACTCTAAAGGATCTACTATTTAATGAATAACCCAAAAAAATACTTTCGTCACTTCTTGGATCGAATTTTCCAAGATTGTCCTTACCATTATTGTGAATGAAACACTTGCTTCCAAACGGATGAAAGTAACTAATATTGGGTCGTTTACCTTTGCATAATTCATAAGGTGTTTACTTCAAAATGGGCCTTATGGGACATCGATTGAGAATATGACATGCAACACTTACTCCTTCTGCCCAGAAGTGATTTGGCAGTGAATATTCTAGTATCATAGTTCTTGCCATATCTTGCAGGGTCCTATTTTTCCGCTCAACGACTCCATTCTGTTGGGGTGATCTCGGTGCAGAGAAGTTGTGAGTATATCCTTGATCATTACAGAAATCTTCAAATGCCCTGCTTTCAAATTCTCCTTCATGATCATTTTAGATTGTTGTAATCAGATACCCCTATTCTCTTTCAACCTTCTTACAGAAAATCTCAAAAAATTTCAACGTTTCATCTTTATGAGATAAGAAAATCACCCAAGTAAAACGTGAGTAATCATCAACTATAACAAAAGCATATCGTTTCCCTCCTATGCTAGCAGTTCTAGTAGGTCCAAATAAGTCCATATGAAGCAGTTATAAAGGCTTAGAAGTAGATACAAAATCCTTGTTTTTGAAAGAGTTTCTGGTTTGTTTTTCAATCTGACAAGCATCACATATATGATTTCTAGAGAAATTTAGTTTAGGCAAACCAATAACTAGATCATGCTTGGAAAGTTTTTCTATCAAATGTATGCTTGCATGACCAAGTTTCTTATGCCATAACCATGGATCATCATATATGGATGTTAAACACATATGACCATCTATATTTTCAAATCCATCGAGAATATAAACATTTCCATACCTTTTACCTGGGAGGATTATTTTAACTGTCTCATCTTCAATAGAACAACCTGTTTTCTTGAACTTTACTTCATATCCTGAGTCGCATAGCTGACTTATACTCAGAAGATTGTAGTTAAGTCCGTCAACAAGATAGACCTCAGTGATATCATAATTATTATTGAAAGGGACTGTTCCGGTACCGACTATTTTTCCTTTTGAATCATCACCGAACTTGACACTTCCTCCATCTATTTTTGTAACTTCCTTAAACAGGTTTTTGTCACCTGTCATGTGACTGGAACACGCACTATCTAAGTACCATATTCCTTTGCGACTCCTCCTGTGGTGTTCCTGCAAAATATAGTGATTACTTTCTTTTAGGTACCCAAGCTTGCTTGGGTCCTGGTTGGTTAGTATTATTCGACTCAGGATTGTTTTGGGTCTCCAAATCCATCTTGAAACATTTGATTTACAAAATCGACAAAAGGAATATTTATGTCCACTTTTGTTACAGTAGTGACACGTAACTCCTGATCCATTTTTGGATCTTTCATTAGTGTTAGTACTAGTGGACTCTGTTCTGGCTGGTCCTTCTCCAGTTGACTTGTAAGCAGCCTGGTTTGACCTGATAGAACTATGACTGGTGGATTTGCGCATGCCATTGAGTTGCATTTGCAATTCCTCAAACTCTTCTTGAAGTACTTCTTTTTCAATTTCGCATACTTCATGTTTGATTTTCCAGTCTTTTACTTCTTTGTGGAGTCTCTTTAGTTCATTCATCATTTTTTGAGACTCTTTCAAAGTAAGGTCAAGAATATCCTGCAATTCATTACACCTTTCACAGTTATAAGATCTTACCTCGCTTGTTTCACCTCGTGCCATGAAACAGTTCTCGTTGTCATCTTTGCATTCATCGTCTGAAGTGTCCTCATCTGTCCAACACCCTGAGAGTTTGTTCATGTCGTTTTCCAGGATTGTCATGAAGCAAAAGTTTGCTATCTCTTCGTGTTCTGAACTGTTTTCATCACTCCAGCTTCCAAATGATTTTTTCTTGTTGAAGCCTCTGGAAATTTTTCTTTTTAAATCAGGACATTCAGCTTGAACATGTCCAAATCTTCCACACTCATAGTATTTTCCATCATTTTTGTCTTGTTTATTGTATTGCCTGGATCGCCTGGGTGGCATCCTTCCTCTTCTCGCATTCCTGTATCTTCTCGTTAAACCATCCATGTTCCTTGACACCATGGCAATCTTTTCTTGAAGAGCTTCAGGGTCATCATCGATATCATTTTCTGCTTTTTTAGTTGTGGCCTTGAATGCAACTGTTTTCTTCTTTTCTTCCTGGTTTGTTTTCTTGAGATGAGTTTTCTCGAAAGCTATGAGTTCTCCTTGAAGTTCATCATATGATAGCTTATTTAGATCTTGTGATTCAAGTGTAACCACTTTTGTCTGCCAAGTAGTGGGTAGACTCCTAAGAATCTTCCTAACTTGATCACCATTTGAGTATGGTTTGCCAAAAGCTTTTAGATCGCTAATGATTTTGCTGAATCTGGAAAACATCTCTTCAATAGATTCTCCTTCTTTCATCTGAAAGAGTTCATAGTCATGAACCAACATGTTGATATGTGTTTCCTTTACTTTGGTGGTTCCTTCATACGTAACTTTAATTTTATCCCACATCTCTTTGGCTGTGTCGCAACTAGAGATTTTCTCATACTCCTCACAACTTATAGCATTGTAGAGCAGATTCCTTGCCTTATTGTTAACTTGCACAACTGCCATTTGCTCATCTGTATATGAATCTATATCTTCAGGGTCAGCAAGTGGTTGAGCGGGGGCCGACAGAGGATAGTTTCCCTTTTTGATAACTCTCCAGACTTTAACATTATAGGCTTTTGCGTATATTTCCATACGCACTTTCCAGTGAAAGAAATATTGTCCATTGAAGTACGGTGGCCTCACTTGCGATGTTCCTTCTTGGAAGAATGCTCCGATAATAACTTGATTTGCCATGATCTTTTCTCACAAGCTGTTAAGCAAAAGAAAAATGTGAGCCTCGCTCTGATACCAATTGAAAGTACAAGAGGAGGAGGGGGGGGGGGATTGTTGATTTTTATATTTTAATTACTACAAGTTGACTAGTTTTCTAATTAGTCAACTAGGTGTATAACGTAATAACAGTAAGAGCAGAATTTAAGATGCAGAAATAAAGTGCAGGAATTAAAGAGATCGGAATTTTTATACTGGTTCAGATTCGATGTGAATCCTAGTTCAGTCCCCTTGGGTTGCAAAGGAGTTCTCTTTCAGTGAATGAGTTTCTCGAGTACAAAGTGAATGGTGTGGTTTACACCAATGGCTCAGTTCCTATATCACTCGTTTCTTTTGTATACAATGCCTCACCAGTATTTTTCTCTCTTTGTTCTCTAACTTGTTACACAGCAGATCTAGTAGAACTACAATATTTGTTTGCAGTAGAACAAAGAGGGGGTATTTGGTTCGATCAAAGTATATTTGTCTACGGCTTAATGATGTGTATAAATACTTTGTAGGAGGCCGTTTCCTGAAGAGATTTGACAATCCAAGAGATTTGATCCTTGGAAAGAGATTGATTCTTTCCAAGAATAAAGTTATTTGCCGTTGCTCTTCCTTAATGAAAGGGCATTGATAGCTTTCCTTCTACAGATCTTGATGACGCGGGTTTACTCCTTGATTGTTGGTCCTTCCGAAAATATATAGCAGCTTGTTGTTGCTCTTCCTTGATGAGAGGGCATTGATAGCTTTCCTTTTACAGATCTTGATAACGCGGGTTTACTCCTTGATTGTTGCTCCTTCCGAAAATAGCAGCTTGATTGATCATCCTGCAAGATCTTCGATGCTTCTTTTCCGCTTCAATCAATCTCTGGTTGATTCCCTTTCCGAATCTCTAGTTGGTTGATTGATTCCTTCCTTTTGATTTCTTCAATCTTGGATGCTTCCTATACCAAAGGCAGTTATATTATTTTTCATCATTAAACAAAAACCTAACAAATAGATGCAGATTAACAACTTAAAAAACAAAAAGGAAAAAAAAAAGGTTTCATGATTTGTTGTCAGATTTGACCAGCTACAGTGTTTAGTTAACTAAAACATAATAATGTTAATAGTGTGAGATTATTAATCCGCAACCGCCATAGCATAGATTAAGACACAAACATAAACATAATCTAGAGTTAAAGTGTAAGGAAGTGTACCATTCAACTCTATTGACACAGTAACGATAGCGATCGGCGATTAAGCCTGAGACCAACTTCCACGATCCACTAGCTACGCGCTCTCACACCCAGAGAACTTGACTGATGGGACGTTTACCGTTACCACGTATTCAAGAGGCAGAATACGCTAGGGTTTTCTAATGGCTAGGTAACGGGGAGTTTGACCTCTATTTATAAATACTACTTACCCATCACAGATTAATTGTTATTGGGTCTCACTTATCCGCACATACAGTATTTAATATTAGACCTTTTATTTATCCACCACTTGGGCCACGTCACTATCCTTTCAGGCTATAACCAATTAGTGTAAGTCCAAATTCCAACAAATAACACTATATTTTCAGATAATTTATATACTAGGATTAAGTTATAAACACTTGCAATGTAAATAGTGTTGTTCTATCAATGTATTTTGACTGTTTGGTGTATTACTTGCCAATTGTTTCATGTTACTCATATAGTCTTACCTTCAATTGTTAAGTGATTAATGTAAATATGTTTATATTGTCAGTACAAAACTTTGAAGTCATTTTTATATTTCCTGAACAAGCTGCTAATCAGAAAAGTGAAAGTGCAGGTCCATTTTCGCGATCAGCAGTGAACTTCAACGCAGGATGCAAAACAGCAGTATCAAACATAGTCATGGCGCTGGCAGTGATGGTCACACTCTTGGTGCTGACGCCATTGTTCCATTACACTCCATTAGTGGTCTTATCATCCATTATAATTTCTGCAATGCTCGGACTCATCGACTATAATGCTGCAATTCACCTCTGGCACGTCGACAAATTTGATTTCTTGGTCTGCATTAGTGCTTACTTTGGCGTCGTCTTTGCCAGTGTCGAAATTGGCTTAGTCATTGCTGTACGTATCCCTTAATTTCTAGTAACTAATTATTTCATTCTAGGAAGTCAGGAATTTGTACAAGGAATTCAGAAAAGATACTAAATATTATACCTAGAATTTGACCCTGTGACCAAAATCAACTTTTGAACCCCCTTTGCACATCATATATATATAGCATAAAAACTCTTTTCTTAGTTTTTCGATAAAAGAAATTCAATTGAATCCCCTTATTCCTACCTAACTCCACCCTTGTCAGTAGCCTTACATAAGAGTATTTGTATATAATAAGTTATATCTCCATTATATGTTTCAGGATACAATTAATATGAAAAAAACTAGAGCAGAAATGGTAGATTCCGTAAAAAATAATTGTTTACTTTTCTAAAAAAATCAAATATTTTGAAGCAAATTCAGTTTGGATAGAACAACTAACATTATACATTGGAAAAATCCATTCTGTTATTACTAATAGACTAGTAGTAACTAGGAAGGGGGAGAAACGAGTACTCGTCAACTAATTAAGCGAGTGTTGTTTCCAATTAATAAAGATGTAACTCTTAATAGCGTAAACTTTTAATGCAAATGCAGGTTGCATTATCATTGCTAAGGGTGTTGCTATTTGTAGCAAGGCCAAGAACGTTAGTACTTGGTAACATCCCCGATTCTAAGATCTACAGAAATGTTGAGCAGTACACTAACACAGACACTGTTCCGGGCGTTCTCATACTTGACCTTGGTGCACCCATTTACTTTGCCAATGCTAGCTACTTAAGAGAGAGGTAATTTTAATTGTACTATATATCTAACTACACATCTTCAACTTCGTATATATCTACTAATTATGTGCTCTGCTTCACTTTTTATAGGATCTCAAGATGGATCAACGACGAGGAAGACAAGTTAAATTCGACATTGCAATATGTAATACTTGATATGGGAGGTCAGTTAACTTATCCTATGTCTACAATCTTAAAGTTTGACAACTTGTAGTCCAATTAAGTAGAAAAGAAACAAGGACATGCTAATAGCCTGTTTGGCCAAGTTTTTTTTTGGGCCAAAAGTGCTTTTTTTGGCCAAAAGCACATTTGGCCAAAATTTGAGGTGTTTGGCCAAGCTTTTGGAAGGAAAAAAAGTGCTTTGGAGGAGAAGCAGAAGCAGTTTTGGAGAAGCAGGAAAAAGTAGCTTCTCTCCAAAAGCACTTTTTTGAGAAACACTTTTGAGAAAAATACACTTAGAAGCAGTTTTTAAAAGCTTGGCCAAACACTAATTACTGCTCAAAAGTGTTTTTCTAATTAATTAGCCAAACACAAACTACTTCTCACCAAAAGCACTTTTTTTAAAGTACTTTTGAGAAAAGCACTTCTCAAAATAAGCTGATTTTAGAAGCTTGGCCAAACGGGCTATAAAACGATTTTTGTAATTTAACTAGTTATAGTAGGTTTTCATTTTCTTTTCGAGGTGATTACATCATGGTTGATATGAAGAATATATATGGTGCTAAATATTTGTATATTATCAGTACGTATAACTTAAACTCGTGATAAAATTCTATATATGATGGGCAGCTGTAGGTAACATTGATACTAGCGGAATTAGCATGCTAGAAGAGGTCAAGAAGAATCTTGATAGAAGAGATCTCAAGGTTTGCCCTAACTATTATATATCCTACACGTTAAAAGATATATTGGAAGTGCTAATTAATCCTTTGCAACAAAATAGTAATATGGTGTGCTTTAAAATTCTTGTGGGATATTGTAGCTTGTGCTGGCAAATCCAGGGGCAGAGGTAACGAAGAAGCTGAACAAGTCCAAATTCATAGAGACAATAGGACAGGAATGGATATTTCTAACTGTGGGGGAGGCAGTGGAATCATGCAATTACATGCTTCACTCCTGCAAACCAAAATCTGCTATAGATGGTTCATTTAGCAATAACGTTTGACAGCTCTTTCAAAACAAAATTATTTGATCTGTATATGTTATTAGTATGACATGCGACACATCGACTTTATAATGATGTTGTGTAACATATTGGCTTTGAGCTTTGAGTTGTTGGCCAAATTCTACAGGCACGCCTCTTCCATAAAAGGAGTTGGAAGGGTCTGTTAGAAAACTATATTAAGAACTGTAGCAGTCCAAGTGTCTTAAAACAGTGTAGCAGTTATTTACTGCATAACAGTCATTTAGTTTCTATGGTATCCCTAATTTGTAGGAGTTGGTTTTTATTTTCAGTTGAGTTTGTAAACTCTATAAATTTGTTGGAAGTTTCTAATGAATATGTAAGTTTGCTTTTCATTATCAAATTCCTGACTTTTATTTCAAAGTTCTTCAAACTCATGTTCAACTTGTTTAATTACTAGTGAATCAGATTTTTCTATTCTTCATTCTCTGTAAAACCTACAATTGGTATCAGAGCTTTCTTTTCTTAAGGGATCTGTGGGTGTTCATTAAACTCAAACTCTCAACAAGACAGATTTGTCAAGCATGGAAGCAGAATCAAATTTCTCAACAATAGCACCTCCTGTTTTCAATGGTGAAAATTATCAAATTTGGGTTGTAAGGATAGAAACTTATCTGGATATCTTGGATATCTGGGAGGTAGTCGAAGAGGATTATGAAGTTCCTCCGCTGCCCAACAATCCAACTATGAGCCAGATTAAGAACCATAACGTCAGGAGAACCAGAAAATCAAAGGCAACGGCTTGTCTATTTTCAGCAGTATCTTCTACAATTTTCACTCGAATTATGTCTCTAAAGTCATCCAAAGCCATCTGGGATTATCTCAAAGCAGAATACGAAGGGGATGAAAGGATCAGAGGTATGCAAGTTCTAAATCTCATCAGAGACTTCGAGATGCAGAAGATGAAAGAAAATGAAACCATCAAAGATTACTCTGAAAGGCTCCTAAACATAGCAAACAGGGTAAGATTGCTTGGTTCCGAGTTCAATGATTCTTGTATTGTTGAAAAAATTCTGGTAACTATGCCGGAGAGATTTGAAGCAACCATAACTACTTTGGAGAATACCAAGGATTTATCCTAGATCACTTTGGCAGAATTGTTGAATGCTTTGCAGGCTCAAGAACAACAAAGGGTTATGCGAGAAGAAGGAAATAATAAGGGAGCATTGCCAGCCAAACACCAAGATGGTGGCAGAAACAAAAAGAATAAGAACAAGAAGAATCAACCAACAAATGATGATGGCATTTCAGCAAATACCACCAAAGGTAAAGCAGGAAACTCAAAGAGAAGTTATCCTCCTTGTAAGCATTGTGGCAAAAAAGGCCATCCACCATACAAGTGTTGGAAAAGGCCTGATGCCAGGTGTAGTAAATGCAATCAACTTGGGCATGATGCGGTTATTTGCAAGAACAACGGTCAACAGCAAGAAGCAGACGTTCAGATTGTTGATGGAGAGGAGGAAGATCAACTCTTTGTCGCTACATGTTTTTCAAGCAGATCGTCGAGCGAGTGTTGGCTGATTGACAGTGGATGCACTAACCACATGACAAATGACAAGGCCCTCTTCAAGGAATTGAAGCCCACGACCATTACTAAAGTCAGAATAGGTAATGGCGAACATATTGCTGTCAGAGGAAAAGGATCAATTGCTATTCCAAGTCATTCAGGTATTAAAACAATTTCTGATGTGCTTTATATACCTGACATAGACCAAAACTTGCTAAGTGTTGGTCAGTTAATGGAAAAAGGCTACAAATTAATTTTTGAAGATAAATATTGCTTGATCAAGGATGTTTCAAATCAAGAATTGTTTAATGTAAAAATGAGAGGCAAAAGTTTCTCATCAGATCCATTTGAGGAGGAGCATGTCGTTTTTTCAGCCAAAGAAAGTAATGCAGAAATATGGCACAAGAGACTTGGACATTTTCACTATGAAAGGCTGCTCAAAATGCAGAAATTGAAAATAGTTGAGGACTTACCGGTGTTGGAAGTGAATTTTTCAAACTGTAATGCTTGTCAATATGGGAAGCAAAGCAGATTTCCGTTTCCAAAGACAACTTGGAGAGCCTCAAAGAAATTACAATTGATTCATACCGACATAGCAGGACCTCAAAGGACTCCCTCACTAAAAGGTAGCCTTTACTATATCATTTTTGTTGATGATCTAACCCGCATATGTTGGATTTACTTTCTCAAATACAAGGCAGAGGCTGCTAATATCTTTTAGACGTTCAAAGCAAAAGTAGAAAATGAGAGCGGTTGTAAAATTCAGTCGGTAAGATCAGATAATGGAAAGGAATATACATCTCAACAATTCAACATGTTATGTGAGGAAGCGGAGATCAATCATCAGCTTACTACTCCTTATACTCCACAGCAAAATGGAGTAAGTGAGAGAAGGAACCGATACATTTTGGAGATGACCAGATGCGTGTTGCACGACAAGAACTTGCCAAAAAGAAATTCTGGGCAGAGGCAGCAAGTACATCAGTGTTTCTCTAAAATAGGCTTCCTACAAAAGCAGTGAAGGATCGAACTCCTTTTGAAGCTTGGCATGGATTTAAACCATCAATAAATTTTCTTAAAGTGTTTGGTTGTCTCTGTTTTTCCTGTGTTCCTTAGGTTAAACGAGATAAGTTAGACAAAAAATCTGCTCCAGGCATTTTTATTGGATATAGTACAGTTTCAAAGGCATATAAGGTCTTCCAACCACAAACTGAGACAATAATCTTCAGTAGAGATGTGTATTTTATGGAGGATGAAATGTGGTGTTGGGAAGACTCAAAGAAACCTATCCTGAATTCTCTTGACTCAACACGAAAGGTTCCTGAAAAGCAAACAGCAGCCTCATGGCAGGATGAGATGGTTGATCATTCACTAGTTCAAGGTACTCGATTGCTCTCTGATATATATCAGCGATACAATGTGGTAGTATGTGAACCTGCTGGATACAGTGAGGCCAAGAATGATGAGAGTTGGGTAGCTGCAATGAAAGAAGAGTTGTTTATGAATGAGAAGAACAAGACTTGGGAGCTTGTTGATCAACCTCAAGACAGAAAGGTAATTGGGTTGAAATGGGTCTTTAGAACCAAGCTAAATCCTGATGGTTCAGTCAACAAGCATAAAGCAAGACTTGTTGTTAAGGGATATGCACAAATTTTTGGTGTAGATTACTTTGATACATTTGCACCAGTTTCTAGGCTAGACACAATCAGGTTACTTCTTGCTCTTGCTGCACAGTTGGGCTAGAAAGTGTACCAGATGGATGTCAAATCGGCATTTCTCAATCGTTTTCTTCAGGAAGAAATTTACGTGGATCAACCCGAGGGCTTTGCGGTGAAAGGAAAAGAGGACAAAGTTTATAGGCTAAGAAAGGCACTTTATGGTCTTAAACAGGCACCAAGAGCCTGGTACGGTCGAATAGATGACGATTTGCTTGGCCTAGGATTTGAAAAGAGTCCATCAGAATCTACTCTTTATGTTAAACATAATGGCATTGATATCCTTGTTGTTTCTAAATATATGGATGATGTACTAATTACAGGGAACAATACAAGGTATGTCGAGAATTTCAAGCAAGAAATGATGCAAGCCTTTGAGATGACTGATCTTGGTCTGATGTCCTACTTTCTTGGAATGGAAATCAAGCAAGGCCAAAATGAAGTTTTCATTTGTCAGAAGAAGTATGCCAAGGAGATTCTGAAGAAATTCAACATGGAAGATTGCAAGGAGATGGGCACTCCTATGAACCAAAAAGAGAAACTAAGCAAAAATGATGGAGCAGATAAAGTGGAGGAAGCATACTTCAGAAGCTTAGTCAGTTGTTTGATGTACCTCACAGCTACAAGACCCGATATTTTGTATGCAGTAAGCATTTATCAAGGTTCATGCATTGTGCCAGTGAGGTGCATCTAAAAGCAGCCAAGAGAGTTATCAGATACATCAAAGGGACCATTAATCATGGTGTCAAGTTTCAGAAGAGTCAAAATCTGAAACTACTTGGGTATTCTGATAGTGATTGGGCTGGATCCGTGGATGACATGAAAAGCACATCGGGGTATTGCTTCAGTCTTGGCTCCGGAATTTTTTCATGATGTTCAAAGAAGTAGGACATTATGGCTCAATCTACTGCAGAGGCAGAATTTGTGGCTGCAACAGCAGCAGCGAATCAAGCATTGTGGTTGAGAAAAATATTGGGTGATTTACACATGAAACAAACTGAAGGCAATGAAGTATTTGTGGACAACCAAGTTGCGATAGCAATTTCTCACAATCCTGTATTTCATGGAAAAACTAAACACTTCAACATCAAGTTTTTCTTCTTGAGAGATGTGCAAAAGAATGGTGATGTAACTCTACTGTATTGCAAGACTGAGGAGCAACTGGCTGATATCTTCACCAAATCTTTTTCAAGCAACAAATTTGAGCTTCTCAGGAAAAAACTTGGAGTTTGCAGCTCTTAAAGCAAGGAGGAGTGTTAGAAAACCGCATTAAGAACTGCAGCAGTCCAAGTGTCTTAAAATTGTGTAGCAGTTATTTACTGCATAACAGTCATTTAGTTTCTATGTTATCCCTAATTTGTAGGAGTTGGTTTTTATTTTCAGTTGAGTTTGTAAACTCTATAAATTTGTCTGAAGTTTCTAATGAATATGTAAGTTTGCTTTTCATTATCAGATTTCTGATTTTTCTTTCAAAGTTCTTCAAACTCACGTTCAACTTGTTTAATTACTAGTGAATCAGATTTTTCTATTCTTCATTCTCTGTAAAACCTACAGGGTCTTTTCTAAACATGTATTAAGCATAATTAAAGAGTGTTTTACCTGTACATTTATAGCTTGTCAAGATTGCCAGAAATTTTAATTTACTTACGTGAAGGCTGCAACTGTTTATTTATTAAGGCCAGATTCTGCTTCTCCAAATATTTATTTCAGGCTATATGTATGATTGTATAATTTGATCCTTGCATGAATAGATGTGTGCAAAAAATTTCATGTTTATTTGTAATTGTGACCAAGCACGTGAAAATTCTCAATTAATGGGTGACGTAGAGATTCAAACTCAAGATGTTTGCTTGCTCAAATATCATGTGATTGTGTAGTTTTAGTTGTTAGAGCATCGTGGAACTTTTATTTGTTCCTTTAGGTATACAATAATTAAGTTCTTGCTTGAAGTTATGCCTATGTTTTTGTACTATCTGAGCCTACATGAACATGTAGTGCATGCACTGATCGACTCGAGAGATGCTACACACTGCTTCCTTATATTTCACTCGTGAAGTTGCTGATCAAATATGAAGGAACGCGTTAAACTAAATACATTAGGTAGTGCGTAAAT